TTTAAAAAAATTAAAAGACTCAACAATAGTCAAAACTTTATGAGTGACTGAATACAAAATGAATATTGCACATATATCTTGACCCACTCGCAGAATTATATACATATAAAAATTATAATAAAACATAATCCAACAATCTTATTCATTCAGGGTATTTGTATTCTTCAAACACCAGATATTTATAACTACTGACTGAGAACAGAACTGGATAATTTCCTATATTCAAAGATTTCTTCCTAAATAGATCTGACAGTTTCAATAATGCACAATCATTTTGTAATTTCCAAGGCTACTGTGCACTTCCTACTCTAAAAGAGTGAGATGCACAGATTATGTTGATTTCTATCATTTAAAGAATCATCTTTAGAGAGTTGTGAATTATAAAACTTTCAATTTCACATGTACACACATATCAAGTTGGGTAACTGAGGTATTACAAATGTAAAACTTGAATGTATTTATGTTAGAGGTGTGCAGTTGTTCCAGTTGGAATGGGAATAGTGGATCCAACATGACACAGGGATTTTTATTACATCAAAACTCTTTCAGCCTCAGAAAATGCTGACACTCTAAATTAGAATTAAAGTCACAGGTACAAAAAGGACAAGAACTGGGGAAGTTTTTGTTTGGCAAGCAAATAACGGAAATCAAAGAAGTGTAAAGTGGGGTGAAAGGGACATGCACGCTCTTGTTGCAAATTCTCCAAATAATGCTACACAACTGGGCTGGTGTACGTAGACAATTACCAGTGCCCCATGCTCACAACCTGTAGAATCCCCTTTCATATTATGAGCCATTATGTGAATTCCATCTATTAAAATCAACAAAAACTGTGTACATGCACCAATCACAATATTTACATGTTACATTCTGTAAAACACCTTTGTTGCATCATCCATCAATTTCTCACAAGTATATTATGGTTTTGAGATGCTGATAAATGATGTTCATATCTCATGAAATTTCTCACTATATTCGATAACTCCACTTAAAAAGCACTAACCAGTAGCCTTTGTGAGTACTTGCTAAACATATGCATGGTCCACAACCTTTCTTATGACCTTCAGATATTAAATATATTGTTTTATTTTAAAATATGTAATGGAACATATCACTGAAGTGCCATTTACAAAAGAAAAGAAAAAGGAAATTCAACACAAACACTAGTACTATTTCATATATTTGACATGATACTATATAAACTTTTCAGTTGAAACAGTCATTAAATAACTTAAAATCAATCAAACTCTCATTATAGGTATAGTAGGCATATGTATTTCCAAAGTAGCTCTGGTAGTATCATGCTATACATTACTTCTGACTAAAAATGTTTTCATTTGTAAGTTTATGCAAAGAGAGGTCAGTAATCATAAAGAATTTGAAGAACCTGCCTGCAGGACTGTGGATATTCACAGAACACAGTTTTGGAATCATTTGCTTATGAATATCAGTTTCATGAACTTTGCATAAGATACATTAGTGAATTATTACTATTCCTTTTTGTAAAATTTCACTTCAATGCACTACTACTCCGTCCCTCAGGATCTGAGCATCCCATTTTTCTTTTCCTTCTCTTTCATAGTCATGCACGAAAATAATTAACTACTATATAACATTACACTATTGTGTGATTACATGACCAATTCCAAGTGTACTAGTTCATATGCTTGAAGAAGAAACTAGGTGTCTTATTATGCATTGCATCTTTGGTTTCTCAACTCACTGCTTCTGCAGCTGTCTAAATAAAATATTGCTTCTACATTTTCTAATACATAAAATATAATATGCATATGCACTTATATTTCATTAATTTTTATGAAAATATGTACATTGACTTGAAATATATTTTGTTATTTTTATACTGTAGTACACTCTTGATTATCAGTATGCAAATTAACTGGGTTGAAAATTATCCATGTCCAGACTTTTTTCTGGCAGTATACAATGGTACACCATACCAGTGCCCATTTTCCATAAAACATTAACATAAAAGCTGTGACTATACTGGTGTTTTAAAGGAGGGAGAGGCAGAGCAAAATACTTTTATCACCACTCCTCTGTCGCATCTGAGTATCAGCACTCTTTTAGTTAAAAAAGAAATCCATGCTTGTTTTATCTTAAATTTCCACTTCTGGAATTTACTAAAGGCAAGATTTATAGAGGCATATGTTATACAAACATGTACTTGCAAACTAAACTTTCGTTTCTCTCCAACTCTTTTACTCTTATGTATATTACAGCCTGTTTTGTGTAGACGTCATTCACATACTTTTACCATATAGTTGGAGGATGCAAGAGAGAGTAATGCTACAACTTTCCCCATGCTATTCTATTACTGTACTGTTAAGTGGTAAAAGTATGAAAATAACACAATTTTGTTGTGTTAATACATGTTATATAACATATAACTATTATTTTGAACTCTTGAGATTTTATAGAAACAGTTTGATAATGAATAATAGTATTTCTAATTCAAATGTTTGCATTTGAGTCACATAACATGCCTGCAGTACAAATTAAGCATTATAGTATATGTTATTAAAATTATGTATATTTGGGATTGTTTAAACAATTACCACTCTTTTACAATAAATGTATTAATATAAATTTAAATCCACAGAAAAAACTATTTTCGATCTATACCTCACTACAGTCTATATTCAATTCTACTGATAAGTTGAAAACAAAACAACACTTTTTGGCTACCATACTTTTTTGTAAAGGGATTTTTTGGCATTAACCTCTAAGTTCTGTTAAGAAACCATGCTGTTAAAACTAATGTAAGCTACCCACTTATATGTACAGTTAAATATTCACATGAAAACCAGACACTGCATTTCCTGAAAGGAAATAAACCACTTTATTTCCCATGTACCCTTTCAAACTGTTGTGAACAACTGAGTGTACATTTCTTTTAAATTTTCTTCTTCCTAAAACATTTCCATTTTATGTCGGTCGTTTATTTTAAATTATAACCACACAAAATTTAAAATAAGAATTACACAACAGATAAATATAAAACATTACACAGCTATCTGCACATATCACTATGTCCAAAGACCATCAACCTAAAATATGTCTTACTTATCTCTTTTATGTAAGCATTTTCTGGTATAGATCTTTTAAACTACCAATAACTTATTTAACAACAAACAGGTATAACATGATTTACGTAAATGTTGCATTCCCAGGAAACATATGTAAAAACATCTAAAATCTTTTGTTCGCAGATTTAAGCTAAAAGCAGTGAAAGTGAGTATTGAACAAAATGATGTATTACTTACTAGCTTGTTTATGACAAAGCAGGTAATGGTCAGATTCTATGTCATAAGAAACTTAAAAAAAAATCACCTGTTTTCCCCTGAACATAAAGTTTTGGGAAAAGCAATTATAAAGTTAATTTGTTACTAGCCCTTTTCTTTTTCACTTTTCCTATGAAAAACTACAGCTGTTCATAAATGGTTCTACAGCTGATAATGTTAGAGGAAAACACACTTCCTTTCCCACATCATTCACCCATATCACACACACAAAATGTTAACAGCCATATTACAGATCATTAAAACTGAAGAATTTTCTTCTGTGTAAAATCCTTTCTGAATGCTGGCCTATTGTGTTGAAAGTAAAGATTACCACAACCATAATAGTGGTTTCTCGATGCTCACTCACTGGTGTCATCTCAGATGATCATGAAGAATACAATTATCTATGAAAGAAACAAATAAGAGTAAACAAGACATTAAAAAAACCTATGTATTCTGAAATATATTTTAGTACTGTTTAGTATTTCAGATTAATGTACTCCATGACACAGTATTTCTTGTAAACAAGATAATCAGTTGGTCATGAAACTCCATTCTTCATGGAACCTGGGGGTTCATTACTGTGTTCACAAAATCCCACCACTGGAGTCTATCCTCAGCTAGCTGAATTCACATCACAACTTCAAATTTTATTTACCTAAGATTCATTTTTAACCCCCCCTCCCCCCATTTACACCCAGATCATCCAAATGGTCTCTTCCCTTCATGCTTTCTGGCAAATTCTGCATGCATTTCCTCCAAATGTGCTACATGTCCTACTGATCTTATCCTCCTCAATTTAACCACCCCTACAATATTTGTGAGTAGTACTTATGAAACAACATTATGTAGTCGTTCTTGATCCTCCTATTAGTTCTCCTTAAGTATATAATGTCATTATAAAATGACTAACACATTACATTCGTACATAACACTCCATGTCACATCTCTTCATACAAACTGGAACCAAGGACTTGAGATGCTAAAAGATCATGCACAGACTATCTTGAAGTACATTAATTTCAAATACATTTAGAGTAAAAAATAAAGTTTCCTATGTTAGATACTATATAATGAAGGGAAAGTTTGACATTTATGACATTGGCACTAGGCAGAATGAATGGTCAGCTTCAGCTCCATGCTCCAATAAGTTAATCCACACACCAAATAGGAAAGAATCGCTGTATTCATTGTCAGGAGGCTGGTCTGGACATAACTGTATAAAGAAAAATATATAGGATGATTCAAAAGGTTAGGGCCAAACTGAAGGAGCATATAGAGGGACTCAGAGAGAACAACTTTCGAATAGGAATCCATCTCCTCCGAAGTTATCCTGAGTTGGTTTGTAAGATTGCTAATGTAATCCTTGTACATTAATAAAAAACAATATGAAGCTAGTTGGAGAATAGCAAAGTACGATTATTTCAGCGGTATGTTATCAGACTTCCCTACCTTCAATGTCCTCGACTGACTCAGGATAACTTTGGAGGACATGGATTCCTATTCGAAAGTTGATCTTTCTGAGTCCTTCTATACACTCCTTGAATTTGGTCCTAACATTTTGAATCACCCTGTATACTCATGCCAGGAACTAAATACTGGCCATCCAGCCTATAGTCAGTCAGTCATGTTACTGACTTAATTATCCTGATTCATTGTATAAGAGAAAATAAGTCTGAGAAATTTAAAATTCAAGGGATTGAAAGTTCTTCAGACTTCTTTTCGTTTAATTTTATTTTTATAACTTACCTAAGACTGTATTCTTTATTATAAGTTATGGGTGACAGATGATTTTAAAATGTCAAGAGGGCGTTTGGGCCAGTGTGTACGTGAAAGAAGCTTTTCCCTTGCATCCCACAGTGACTGCAGCCGTGTATCCAATGGCCGAAGGAATGTAGATACCCATTCAGCAACTGTGTACCGATCATACACATCAGACATTGCTGACCGTATGTCCCGTTCTATGTAGACCAATTCCATTTTGCATCGGTCTAGCTCTGCTGTCGCATGTTCCACCTTTTGGCAAATGGAGAGGAAGAAAAGGAATCACCTGTAGTACTGGAATATGTGATACATATGTTGGCTGTAATTCCATCTTCAGGTGATTTATCATTATACAGACAGACATCTTCCCCCTTTTTTTTACTCTTAAATTTTAATGACAGTTGTAAAAATCAAACCTTCACCTTTTTGAATTCAATGTTTCATCACAACTCCTATCACTAAAAGTGAAACTAAATATAACAAAATATCGCTGTAATGACAACCAATCTTATGAAGAATGGAGTATTGCCACCTACCAAAACATTATGTGTATCAAATATATTTCTGACAGTTACAGTGTAATGAGATGATATCAACAGTAAAGTAGTACATACATGAGAAGGACTTGAAAAACCATGATCTACATTGTAGGAAGTCATCCAGCCCTTCACTGTTGAATCAGCCAACATCCGGTCCACACTGAGGTGCAGGGTATACAGACGTTCTACTGCGTCTAAAACCGCAGCACCAGGAAAATTACATCTGGTTCGTCCTGCACCTGGGCTCATTGGTATTGTACCATCGCACTTCAATATATCTAGTACTTGTTGTGGTATTAATGCTGTCCCTGTAAAATATAATAAGTTCATGTCACATTTCACTTCACTGCATAATACATTTTCATGATCTTGGGTTCCCAGTTTAAACAAGTTATTTATTAAAATGACCTGTCATGCAAAATATCAATATCTACTTAACCTAGGTGCAAATTATTTATTCTGAAAACTGGGTAAATCCTATTATGGATTAAATAGTAACAAATAACACTTCATGCATGCATAGTGAAAGAAATTTAATGCAAATTGATTCACCAAGCATATGCAGGTACTAAATGCAACACTGCAATTGGAACAATAGCCAATTTACAAGTAATACAACTAAATGAATGATGTGAACTATCAGTGAGTGAAATCTGTATACCAATTACACTGTCCATACATTTACATTAATAATTTGCAATGAGGTATGAATAGTGTCATGTTCTTCCAAAGGTCCAGCCAAATCAAAATTACCAAAAGGGAAGTCACATGCTGATGCTAGGTTACCTCTGTTATTAGAATGGATGAAAGCGAGGCTAGCTGCTAGAGATGGGATTCCAACAGGTAGCAACTCACACAGCACTGAAAAATGGTCATATCTTTGCCACCCAGTAATAAAAATGCCTTTGAATTTTAGCTGACCAGAATATGAAGAAATTATGTCCATCCATGACTGATGATTTTCCAGATGATAGCCTGTGAAAAGCAAAAATACTGAAAACATATAACTAAGAAACTACACCATAACAAGAACAAAAATAATCTGATTGAGAGACTGGACATTACAGTGAAGTA